TAAGTCCAACCCTACTCATTTGTGATCCGCTCCAACCAAGGTGACATTAGATTTTGGATGATAACTCTTATTATGCTAGCTGCACCAATGATCTAGTTGGACGGGGATGCATCAAGCAATGCACAGACTATGTGGCATCCAGACCACGAGAGTCGGTGACTGATATTATTTTTTTAATGTTGTGATCCTTGTTGTACGATAATATTATCCGCTTTGAACTAGACCTATCGGCTTAAAATGCCTGACACAATAAATATGCTAAAAAGTAGAGAAAAAAACACAAAGTAAAATGTTTTCTTTTTCAATTACCTGGGACAGCCATTGAAGACTATAAGAAGAATGGACGAAATGCAGACTTTTTGTAGCAAAAAGCCTACCATAAAATGAACCAGGGACTCCAGAGAAAAAACAAGGTCCATATCCGGATCCCATCTGTTCTGTCAGTTTTCCTTGGAACCTCGGCAAAGACCGAAAAATCGTGTTAAAATCATTCCCGGGAAGGTCATTTAAGAATATTTGAAACTCTGGTGAGTGGTTTCCCATTTTTCGGCATAGTTTGTCAACTGCTTTGATGAGCTCAGAGACCACTAGCAAAGTGTTTGGACCAGAGGAACAACCCAAGTCTGCAATGGACAAGGATTTAGGGAAAGTACTGCAGTAGAGATCAATAATGGCTTCTTTTGTTATCGGCTCGGTAATGGATAACACCTTTTGCTGTACACGAGACACAATTAATTAACAAAATTAATCTTCGAAATCAAATGTCAATCTCACAAGCATTGTTATATTAATCAAATCATTTACCAAATTTTATATAGCAGGTTGTGGCTTTAAATGATAGCAATACAACCCAGTTAGTTAATAACTTTAAATTTTAGGGATTTTTCTTGTATGTTTATTACCATTTTGAAAATTCATAGAGGGACCCAATTTGTTATATTTACTTAAATATTTGTTAATAAGGTATCAAAATATTTTCGGATATCATATAATTTCTTAGAGCCACATTATTTTCTGTGGTATTAATTAAACGACTTTTTTGGAGTTTGATAAACTAAGTCCGAGAATGTAGAAAACTGATTGACAAGTGAAAATGACCTATTCCTTTTTCAAAAGTAATACACGAGGAAAAGTGACATAGTTGTCAAAAGGGACATTTAATAAAATATTATCGTCAAATTGGTAGGGAATCTACCGCCAATCAATGGACCATATCTATAATATCCTGCAAATGTGAAATTCTGGATGAAAAAAATTAGGTCTACTAAACGTGTCAATTGAGACCACTTTGTGTAGTGAATTCGTGTCAAAAAATATTTTATTTATACCCGATTCATTTATATACTCATGTCTTATTCATTTATTAATCGTGTCGCGTAGGGTCTACTCATTTACGAAATGAGCGACTTAAGAAAAATTCAAATCCTCTAATTTAATATCGAATCTGTATCGTGTTATATTTTGACACCCCTAAAAAAAACAATTGTGTGCTTTGCCCGGAGTATGTAGTAAGCACAAATGTATTAATCTAACAATTATAATGAATTATATAAATAATTTAGATCCTAATAATAAGGCAAAATAAGTTTATTTTTTTCTGTTACCAATCTCAATTCTGCAGGTAATAACGGTTGTGTACTTTGCGTTAGATCTGGAAGAAGCACAGATACATTACATGGAATTGAATGGACATGCATACCTGAACTAATGAGTTGTTTGCATAACTTGCATCTCCAATTCCTCCATTCATGTGTAGAACTTCAATCACTTCCATCTCTCTCTCTCTCTCTCTCTCTCTCTGACACACACACACTCCCTCCCACCCTCTCTCTTACTTTGATGGGGGGTGTTTAAGGGGGGTCTCCGTATTTATAGAGACACCCACATCTCTCACGAAGAGGGTGGTGATTATTTTGGTTTCTTTTAATAATTCCCTTTCAATTATTATGTTGTCAACATCATGAAGTCGTCTATAAGTAACATTTACCTTGGAAACGGAAGGCCCACTCCATTCCCATTATTCCACTAAGTTACCTATAATGTATGAAAACACATTTTGGCAACACTCAGTACTCTTTTCAATTAGCACACAAGTGCCCAACTTAGCTATTTTTATCTTTCGAATTGAAGCTTGCATTACTTTAAAATATACTGTCTAGTGAAAATTTAAAACTCAAACTTATAAAACGACTCACACACATCACCAAGCGACGTAAAATTTGATAATCACATACTTGCTTCTCATGGATATATTTAATATGGTACAATAATGAGTATATAGACAAATTTAAATTACTTGGTGGAACATGTTTTTCAATTTCTGATTCTTATGAACATTGCACTACATTTTTACCTGATGTAGCTTGTTACATGGGTCATTAGTGACTTTGTCAAATATGCAATAATTTGTAAGTCTTGGGACTTTGACAACCAAGGAATAGTGCTCTCAATTGCTCTCATTTTAGGTATATGGTTTTAATTATCTACAGTTTCAATATCTACGAAACACCTTGTCTATTCATCTTATTTTATCATATCCAAAATATGATATGGTTTCATAGAATGACTGCGTGCTTAGTCACCATGACACTTGGAAGAAATTTCACTTTAGTTTTGTTTATCATTGAATTTCTTGGATCCGAATTTATTGGATTTCTAGATTTGTTAAATTTAAATTCCATAGATGTTCCTCGTAGGTTCGACTGACAGTCAATTGAACCGAATTTGTGGTGCAAAAGGAATGAATTGAGTTGAGCACTAGGTTATTCTGGTGTGGTTTGTTCATTTACAATGAAAAAATTATTATCGGCGTTGAAGAGTGAGGAGTCTTAGACATGTAGTTTAAGCTTGACTCAATTAATTTTTTTCTCTCAAAACCCAAGTTCAAATCGATTCGACTTGCCTCACCTTGATAAAACGAAGCTATATATTTTAATCCTTTACTCATAAACTCCAATTCAAATTTATGTTTATGATCAAGCTCCTCCTGTTTAGGTATATATGTGTGTGTCTATCTATATAACATCTTCACGACGAATTTAAACGAATCGAACCAGTTATTTCTTTGGTTTAACTTGCATATTAAACTAAATAACTAACTCCAAATATCTTTCTTTGAGCATTAGAGCTTATTTTTTATATGCTATTACATACATATCCATGTTGTGGACGCAAACTAAAACTAGTACTCAATTGTCCTTTATCCTAAATTTAACCATGCATTAATGTACTTCCATGCATATTGTGTGTGTGTTCTCTTTTACTCATTTATATCATTAGCAATATTCCTTTCTTTTTTATTTTTAGTTTAACGTTTAAAGATGTTCACATCAGTTTACACACAATTCGATTAATCTCTTTTTTAGTCTGATCAAAAGTAAATTATCTATGTAGGAATTAAGATATTAATGAAAGATAAATCTCTTATTGTCTAGTATTAACAAATTATTAAAATTTAAATTCAAGACATCTTCCCTTACAACTCGCATATGCTAAATCTTGAAATTGGATGGTCTTTGGCACAATAAAAGAAGGTGCATGAAACACGATGATGATTAGCATGCGACAAGTGGAGGGTTGTTGGCCATATAAGAATACACTGACTTTGGAAAAGGTGGGGCCGAGGACTTAGGCTTCATGGCGGTGACATCATTTTTTACGTACACTAATTCGTCACCGTATTGGAATCATACAAACTTCATGCCATTGAGGTCATCCGATGATCTATGTATTTTTTACTAGTATAATGTTTGCTTTCAGCAGGGGCGGACGGAGCGTGGGCTCCACCCACTGAAATGTTGAAAATTTAATAAATAATCGGATTCTNTAACTAGTAGAATGTTTGCTTTCAGCAGGGGCGGAGGGAGCGTGGGCTCCACCCACTGAAATGTTGAAAATTTAATAAATAATCGGATTCTATTCAAAGTCGAGTTTTCAAATTGAATTTGAATTCGAATCTCTTAAAACAGAATTTTCAAAGTTAAAATTGCACAAAGCCAGCCCAGATAGTTTTACGCTTTACGTATCCCTAGATAATGGAGTGCTGATAATTCTATCATTTAGCAGTATTTGGAGAAGCATCACAGCAAATTTAAAGAAGGGTGCGTTGACGTCATCCAAAGTAGAAAACATTGATGTTGGAAAAAAATAGAACGTACACTTTATTTCTGCGAAATCATTTTTCGCGCACACTAATTCGTCACCATATTGAATCATACAAACCTCATGCCATTGAGGTCATCTGATCTATGTCATTTTTTTACTATTATAATGTTTGGATTTAGTTACTTATCGGAGAAAAAAAAAAGTGTGTTTGCGTGTAGTTATTTGTCTAGGGTGTATATTTGTGTCTGTCTTTTACTTCAATTTTGTTTAACTCATTGATAATTTTTTAAAACTGAATCTTTTACAATTTTTTGAGAGTCTTTGAAATCAACCCGCCATGGCTAAATTTCGATGACCTTTGTCTGACATATAGTTTTATGTATATATGCTGCATCAATCAAGTACTATAAATCACAAGAAATAAATGATATTTTAACTGATGTTTTTAACCAAAATCTGAGTAGATGGTTGGTTAAATGTCCTATCTTGGTCCAATTGATTTGATGAAAAATTGGAGATAGATATAGGGAGAAGAAACAAAATGAAAACTTTGAGCCACACAAGTCCATGCAACTTCTTCATTAGTGGGGTTCAGAAAATGAATGATAAATGCCGACATTTATATATGGAAAAACAGTTGTGTACTTCGCTTGGAGTTTGTAATAAGTACAAATGTATTAATTCAATTAGTACAATAAATTAGATCTTAAAATCAAACAATTTTACTTTTTCTATCTTTGCAATTGTATAATTTGCTTGAGATCTGAAATCGTGGACTAACTACAAATATCTTTCTTTGAGCATTAGAAAGATATTTACATACATATTGTTGCCGTCCACGCAAACTAAAACTGCCTACTCAATTGTCGTTTTCCCTAAATTTAACCATGCATCAATGTACTTCCAGTGTGTGAGTGTGTGGGCGTGCTCTTTTTCACACCACATGATGAATGCTCTTTTTCACACTACATGATCAATGTTTGTAGTACAACGTTATAATCCTCAGACTTCCCTAGATCTTTTGTTTTTAAAATGAAAGCAAAATTTGAAATCAAAAGGTGAGCAAGACGGTGCTAAGGGGTCCATTTATGAGTGTTCATCATACAACTGTTTGAAAATTCAACTCTGATAAAGCTTATGTAACCTATGCCCAAAATGTTTGTGGTTTAAAACCCTCCATCACTGCTTTTGGCGGTAGCTAAAGTGTGGTTCGTTTTGTTTTGTTCTTTTCTTCCTATTTTGGTGCATGATGTTATATATAGCTAAAGTATGCATATATAGTTCGTAACTATTACAGATGAGTTATAGACCGTATATATAGTTCGTAACTATTATAGATGAGTTATAGGCTGTTCTTTTCTTGAAATAGGATTAGTTTGACAATGAAATTAACTTTAGTCATAGGTAAGA